CTATTCTAGTAGGGGCGACATTTTTTATGTCTTGGCTAGGGCTGCAGAACGGCCAGGACCGGCCCTGCCTCAATCTATCACCAAACAGTGGTATTCTCTGTCCAATCAAATAGCTCAGAGGTTAGAGCATGCTACAAGCTTTGTTGTTGTGCTAGTTACAGCACCAAATGTACCCTGAGCACCATATAGTCAGTTAGTGTACCTCACATGATATGAATGCTGTCCACGCCTACAGTCATGTCTGTTGGACCGATGCCAGCAGCTGAGATGTAACAAAGGCTTCATTAAACATCTCCATGGCCATAGTAGGTCTGGTTTTGAGACAGACAGGACAGGGTAGACCTGAAAAGACAGGCAAACACAAATCAAATCAAATTGTATTCGTCACATACTTTGTAAACAACAGGTGTAGACTAACAGTGAAATACTTACTTATGGGCCCTTCCCAACAATGCAGAGAGAAAGAAAATAGAGAAATAATAGAAAGCACAACAGCATTACACAAAGAGTAGATAGGGAATACTGTTGTGGACAGTGTTGTCTATGTCATCATTGTGAGTCATATGAGTGGGTTATCATCGTTCACAAAATACAGTATGACTAAGGTTTTCTCCGAAAAAAGTATATTTCTATGGCACGGACATTTGGCTATTTGTTTTAAAGTCTCATCACGCACATAGGCCTATGGGTCAGCTTGTTGTTGCTGCAAGAACACCAAATGAAGACATGAACTACATAATAAGAGAACATGAAATGGGGGAACACACGAAGCAAAAACACAAGGCCAGAATCATATTGGAGGAGTAATGATGGCCTAATTGAGTTATCTGTAATAACTGTCATGTGCTGGGCCGCTGTTTTTGGGCGGGTGCTTTGAGTAGGAGGACAAAGCAGGGTGTTGTTAAAGTTGCTTGGGTGGCTTCCTGTCCTTTTCCAGTGCACTTAACGACTTTGACAGACATCCAGGCCTGTAAACAAGACTTGATGAATCAGATGATATTGCCTCTATTCCACCAGTCCCAACTGGCTCACTCACAATTACTCTGGAGGTGCCTGGGACAGCAGTGGCTCAGCTTGTTTTTCAAAATCTTCTGAAATTCTTTGCACTATAATTTTTGGTAATCAGATTTACATTTTAGGCTAATGGTTGTTTCCCTACCCTTCCACATTATAATAGCGTTATCTGTCTGGACTTATATATAGCTATAAGGTTTCTCTCCCACTTAAAGCAGAGGTCAGTGCACTTTCATATATGTAACAAAGTGTAAAGAAAAAAGGCATACATAACAAATCCCACATGGATTGCATTACATTCTTCACTCTCTGCCAGATTGATCGTGACACTAGTGCTCATAGTGACGGTGACAGGAGTAGGGATAATGCGCATGTCCGAAACTGCCAAATATGAACGCTGCTCCAACATCTGAACAAACCAGGTAGGATTATTTCATATCTTGACAGGTATTTTTCATGTCTTGATGTTTCTTTAGCGGTTGTTAACACAAATGCGCAGTCATGTTGCCCTTATGTATCATGATAATATTAGCTAGTTAGCCCGTAATGCAAGTTGAACGCCCAACAACCAATGTTGAGAGTGAGAAGGAGAATCTGTCTCGCTTTCTTGTCGCTACGACGCCAGTTAGTTAGGCGCTAGTTAACTATCTCTCTGCCCCTGAAGGAAAAGCTTTGCATTTTGCTAACTATGCATGGTCGTAGCTAATTCTTTGACGTGACATAGCTAGCTATGCTAGCTAATGTTATGCTATGTCTTGACCTGGTGAAAACACTTGACAAGACAATGGACCAATGCATTGGCTAACGTGAATGAAAGAAACGCGCTAACTGTCCCCATTGCGAGCTGCCTCTAGCTGTTCGGGCTGCTTATAACTGTCACCTTTACTTTGCAAGGATTAGCTACCATTTACCAGTTTTCACGGCGTTGCAGGTCCTAGCTAGCCGTGAAAGATGACCAAATAGGCGCATTCAACGACCCGATGATTTCAAAGTACCTCATCATCGTGGAGTTGAGGTACTTGGCGATCGCTTACCCCGGCATAGCCAGGTTGCTATACAGAAGTGTGGTGTCGGCACCTTGTGCCATTGAGCTTGCCCGAAATGCCATTAGCCTGTCACATTAATTCCCCAGTTAACGTTAACTAGCTGGCTTGATCGCATTAAGGTAGTTGTATCGTCAGTGTCCCTTGGTGGCTGACCCTACAAACTCCCCATTCAGAAATGTGTGTTGAAATATGGCCGTTTTTATTGGTTCTGGAAGACATTGCAATAGCTATGCATACAAATTCATTTCTACAATATAGCTGAAATGTATAGCCAGCTAAGTGGAGTAATTTATTTTTAGCTGGTGCTCATCTGCATCTGAACCAATATGATCCCATATTAGCAATAGCTAGTGTTGTTCAGTTCAACAATTTTATCCGTTTCTGTCAAGGAATGCCATTGGCCAGTGTTAATCCTCTGTCATACAATATCATCTATTTTTCTGCTTGGAACCATAAACTTTAAACGATGTTTTGCCCTCAATTGCTCACTTAACCTTTGCCCTGAGACATGGCTGTGTAGATGTCACGAGACTCGGAGTGAGTCAAAAGCAATGTCTCAGGTCTGGGCACCTATATAGCCAGTGTCGGTTGCATATTTGTAGCCTACATCAAATGGCATTCTGAAATAGCTTTGTGGCTGCATACAGGCTAACTTACACAACGTTCCCTTTAATTGTTTCCCCTTGCATCAAGTTCGATAACAATGGAAGACAAGAATGTCCATGCCTTTTGGAGGGAGCCCAGTCATATCCTGTCAAAAGATTGTTACAAGAACAAAAGTCTAATTTGGGCTAATGGTGTTTGACTGCAGCCAGCAAGACCTTCAGAGAGATTCAGATTCAGATCAACTTTATTAGCCCACCAGGGGGAAATTCATTTGGTCATGTGCTTAAAAAGATGGTACATAAAACATGAAAACACAGAAACTACACAAAAAATTAATTCAAAGTGCTATAGCTACACATTTTAAAGTGAAAGTGCAATAAGTTGTATACTCGAGGGACCAACAGACTATTATACAGCCTAATGGCTGTTTGAATAAAAGAGTCCCCATATCTATCTGTATTCATTTTCTTTTGAAGAAGTCTCTTCCCCCTTGTCCAGCTGCTGCTGTGACTGAATTTTGAGTGAAGGGGATGAGTACTGTCCTGTAAAATACTTTCAAGTTTTAGGAGGATGAGTTTTGTGTACAGGTTGGTGGCTGATTCTTGATCTATACCAATTATCCTTCCCGCCGTCTTAATCAAGCACTGAAGCTTGACTTGGTCTTGCACTCGCATGTTTCCAAACACACCAAAGTACAGCACACTCTGCAGGACAGATTTATAAAAAATTTGTAAGATGTGGCGGTCGATATTAAAATGGTTCAGTTTGCGTAAAAAAAACATTTGTCTGATTCCCAATTGATCCTCGTAGGGGGTAGAGGAGTTTTGTTCCTTCTGAAATCAATTTCCATCTCTTTTGTTTTCTTAACGTTTATTTCAAGAAAGTTATCTGCACACCACTGGACTAATTTTGCAGTTTCTCTGTCAAAACCTTGGAGAGGCTTGGTCTGGGTGTTGGAAACCCACAACAGCGGTGTCATCTGCATATTTAAAAAATGTGTGGCCTGCGTCAGAGGCTTGACAATCGTTTGTGTACAGTGTGTACAGTATCGGTGAAAGTACTCAACCTTGAGGGGCTCCCGTATTCACCGTTCTAGATGTAGAGATGGCAGAGTTAAACTTCACTTGTTGAGTACGGTTCACAAGCAACCTATTAATCCACTTGATCAGTAGAGAGTTGACACCCACATTCACCAGCTTATCCACCAGTAGGTGGGGTTGGATGGTGTTAAACTCGCTACTGAAGTCAATGCAGACAATTTTCACTAGGCTATTTGCCTTTTCTAAATGTTCGTAGATATTGTTCAGCATGACCAGTAACGCATCATCAACACCCCTGGAGGCACGGTAGGCGAATTGGTTTGAGTTTAATTGGGATGAGAGACCAGAGAGAATTAGTTTTTGAATCCTTTTTTCAAAACATTTCATAGGTACAGATGTCAGGGCTACAGGGCGTAAATCGTTCTTTTCTTCTGGCCTGTTGTTTTTAGGTATTGGGACGATCAGCGACTTCTTCCATAAGTCTGGAATTATCCCACAGTTCAGTGACGGCTGGAACAGCTTCTGGAACAGTAATGCGAGCTGGTCTGCGCATGCCTGAAGTGCCTTGCTGCTGATGCCGTCTGGACCATATGATTTTCGTGGGTTGACACGTTGAAAGTATTGCTTGACGTCATTCACAGAGAACTGTATATCAACAGCTGGTATGCTGTCTATACTGTCCAATGCCACTTTCTGCTGTGATGTAAAACCACACATCAAACCTACAATAGAAACTGTTCAAATCATTTGCAAGGTCATTTTCGACGGTCATACAATGTCTCTTTGGTTTGTAGCCATTTTACTTTACTGCCACCTGATTTAAACACTTGTTTTTGCTGGTTGAGGAGCTCTTTTAATTCCCGAGTTACCCACAGTTTATTATTGGGGAAGATGTTGACTTTCTTTGTTGACCTTCATATGTCCTGCGCTTTGCACACATAATCACTGACAACCAAACATGCACAAACATACAAGCCATCTGACTCATGGTCTTAGGCAGTGGATATAATTACTGAAGAGTCAGTCATCTCAGAGGGGAGAGACAAAGGAGCAGTTAGCCTAGTTCGGAGCTTGGTAGTTGCAGGCGCTTTAGCAGGGAGATAAATGTCAAGCAAAACATATGTTTTTTTTTTACAGAAACTCAAATTCTTTCCTCCTCTCTACCCCTCACATACAGTGAACATCATGGGTAGTTGAGAAACACACCCTGGACATATATTTTGTGAGGAGGACAGAAGACTAGGCTATATTCCAGACCAGACCCCTCAGCCGCAGTCCAGAATCTTCTGCAGCCATGGCTGAGGAGGACTATGGCTGCTTTGTGGACTGGACCCAAATGGGGGACTTGGCCAAGAGCAGTGGCACCTCCAAATTGGACATCAAGGACCCTGTGGAGCTCAAAAAGCTGGCCAGGCAGGGCCACTGGGCCAAGAACCACAAGCTCCGTGCCCAGGTCTACCAGCAACTCATTAAGGCCATCCCCTGTCGCACCGTGACCCCCGACGCCGAGGTCTACCGCGACCTCATGGGCGACGACACAGGTAAAAAAGCCTTGTCCGCCATCCCACTGCCAGACTTTGTGGACGGTAGCGCTGTGCCGCACTACTGCCTCAAGGCAGACGCAGTGACCGCCGTCCACCGGGTCATCTCCTGTCTGGCGGGACAGTTCCCGGACATCTCGCACTGCCCGGCGCTTCCCGCGTTGACAGCCCTCCTGCTGCACTTCAGTGCCGACGAGGCACAGTGCTTTGAGCACGTCAGCCATCTGTTGGCCTGCAATGAGCCGGGCCGACGCTTTGTGGACCAGACCTTCCTGGCCTATGAGTCCAGCTGCATGACCTTTGGCGACCTGGCCAACAAGTACTGCCCGGCGGCCCACAAGATCATAGTGGCTACAGCGCAGGACGTGGTGGAGGTGTACTCGGACTGGCAGCGCTGGGTGCTAGGCGACCTGCCCTTCAGCCATGTGGCTAGGGTCCTAGACGTCTTCCTGGTGGAAGGATACAAGGTGTTGTACCGCGTGGCCCTGGCCCTGCTGAAGTTCTACCGCAAGCAGAAGGCCGGGGCTGGAACTCAGCAATCAGAGGGCCAGAAACAGGACTCTGCAGGGGTCAAGGCAGAGATCCAGGCTTTCGTCAAAGCCATCAGCTCCTGCATCACCCCGGACAAGCTGCTGGAGAAGGCCTTCTCTATCCGCTTGTTCAGTCGCAAAGAGATCACCCTCCTGCAGCTCACCAACGAGAAATCGCTGCAGCAGAAGGGCATCACCGTCAAACAGAAGAGGTGAGTAAGCAGGGCTAGAGAGACAGCATCAGTTCTATTGGGTCTAATTTACATATAGAAAAATGGTAGTCTACAACTCAAATACAGTGGGGGAAAAAAGTATTTAGTCAGCCACCAATTGTGCAAGTTCTCCCACTTAAAAAGATGAGAGAGGCCTGTAATTTTCATCATAGGTACACGTCAACTATGACAGACAAAATTAGAGAAAAAAATCCTGAAAATCACATTGTAGGATTTTTAATGATTTTATTTGCAAATTATGGTGGAAAATAAGTATTTGGTCAATAACAAAAGTTTCTCAATACTTTGTTATATACCCTTTGTTGGCAATGACACAGGTCAAACGTTTTCTGTAAGTCTTCAAGGTTTTCACACACTGTTGCTGGTATTTTGGCCCATTCCTCCATGCAGATCTCCTCTAGAGCAGTGATGTTTTGGGGCTGTCGCTGGGCAACACAGACTTTCAACTCCCTCCAAAGATTTTCTATGGGGTTGAGATCTGGAGACTGGCTAGGCCACTCCAGGACCTTGAAATGCTTCTTACGAAGCCACTCCTTCGTTGCCCGGGCGGTGTGTTTGGGATCATTGTCATGCTGAAAGAACCAGCCACGTTTCATCTTCAATGCCCTTGCTGATGGAAGGAGGTTTTCACTCAAAATCTCACGATACATGACCCCATTCATTCTTTCCTTTACACGGATCAGTCGTCCTGGTCCCTTTGCAGAAAAACAGCCCCAAAGCATGATGTTTCCACCCCCATGCTTCACAGTAGGTATGGTGTTCTTTGGATGCAACTCAGCATTCTTTGTCCTCCAAACACGACGAGTTGAGTTTTTACCAAAAAGTTCTATTTTGGTTTCATCTGACCATATGACATTCTCCCAATCCTCTTCTGGATCATCCAAATGCACTCCAGCAAACTTCAGATGGGCCTGGACATGTACTGGCTTAAGCAGGGGGACACGTCTGGCACTGCAGGATTTGAGTCCCTGGCGGCGTAGTGTGTTACTGATGGTAGGCTTTGTTACTTTGGTCCCAGCTCTCTGCAGGTCATTCACTAGGTCCCCCCGTATGGTTCTGGGATTTTTGCTCACCGTTCTTGTGATCATTTTGACCCCACGGGGTGAGATCTTGCGTGCAGCCCCAGATCGAGGGAGATTATCAGTGGTCTTGTATGTCTTCCATTTCCTAATAATTGCTCCCACAGTTGATTTCTTCAAACCAAGCTGCTTACCTATTGCAGATTCAGTCTTCCCAGCCTGGTGCAGGTCTACAATTCTGTTTCTGGTGTCCTTTGACAGCTCTTTGGTCTTGGCCATAGTGGAGTTTGGAGTGTGACTGTTTAAGGTTGTGGACAGGTGTCTTTTATACTGATAACAAGTTCAAACAGGTGCCATTAATACAGGTAACAAGTGGAGGACAGAGGAGCCTCTTAAAGAAGAAGTTACAGGTCTGTGAGAGCCAGAAATCTTGCTTGTTTGTAGGTGACCAAATACTTATTTTCCACCATAATTTGCAAATAAATTCATAAAAAATCCTACAATGTGATTTTCTGGAATTATTTCTCTCATTTTGTCTGTCATAGTTGACGTGTACCTATGATGAAAATTACAGGCCTCTCACATATTTTTAAGTGGGAGAACTTGCACAATTGGTGGCTGACTAAATACTTTTTTTCCCCACTGTAAATGGAAGTCTGAGGCAATGAATGCTAGTGCTTCTGCTAATGCCATGGTAGCGCCTTAGCTAATGGCAGCGTAAATAAACATTAGACATAGTTCTAAGGGAAACAGGCAATAAACCAAATCAGGATGAGAGGCATGCGCTTGCAAAACTGTGCATGACCTAATTTGCCACCAGTAAGAGGTGGCCATTGTTCCTGGGTATATAAAGCTGGTACGACCTTCTGCTAAAATAATTTGGATTGTCTAATTGGTTCTCTGTTTTTAGTTTGCTTGCTCCTTTACCTGTTGTGGCTGTCTGTGTGGCTCTGGCTTGCTTTTTGTCATTGATTATTTTCCTCACCTTTCTGTTCATAGTTTTCTCCTTTTTTGTTCTCTCTTTCCTTTGCTGTCCCTTTTTTTTTCTTCCATCCACCGTCTTCTTCCGTTTTCACCTTCACTCTTGTGTCCATGTGTCGTCTACTGCTCATGCTCCTCCATTCTCCCATGAACCTGGCTCTGTTAGCCTGAGGTAAGTGTCTGTCCTCCCTCTCGCTCCACTCTCTCTCGTCACCTGTTAACACTTGAGCTGACCTCCCTCATTAGTGATAAATTGTATTAGGAACCGTGTCTACATTCTCTGTAAACTGTCCTAATCTATAAGTGACCAGGAAACAAGATTTGGACATTGAACACACTGTACCATAGTCAAACCTTAAAAATTGTGTGCAGGTTTATTTTCTTCTCCTCAACACTCAATTGAGTAGGCCTAATTAAAGTCCCAGACTGACTAGCTGGTCCAATCACCTTGTTTGAGAGGTCTGAATTAGGTGCTGTTGGATCAAGTCCAGCTCACGCTGGGGCCCTTCCATTACCACAACCTCATGGCCCTACATGCGGTACAAAGACTACTTTGACTCTCCAATCAGGAGTTTGTGTGTTACTAACAAAGTAGTCCTCTCCTTCCTGCCCGGTTACCATGGCTACAGGCGGAATGTGCAGCTGGCGCTGAATCCGGACACCTTCTCCTCGGAGGTAGTCAGCGCCAAGGAGATGAAGGACATCTGGTCGTGGATCCCCGAGCGCTTCGCCCTATGCGAACCGCAGCTCCTTTTCACCACCTCAACCCACGGCTGCAGCCTCAACAGGTACTTACTGCCCACTTTTGTACCCACTTTACCAGTCTCATTGTAGCCACTTTACCCTGCAGCCTAGGCTAACCACTAGACCAAGGGTGTCAAATAATGATCCAATGTGGCCCACAGGTGTTTTCTTAAGGGAAAAAGGTCTCAATCAACCTACATTTCTATACAGACTATCCAGCTTGCACCGAAACAAAAGCTGCCCTTACAAAAATGTACCATGGTAGTACAATGGAAAAAATACCAGAGTACTATCATGTTTTCTTTGTCACTACCATGGCAGAAAATACCATGGTACTGGTGCAAATACCATGGTCTTTTCCTGCCATGGTAGTGACCAAAAAAACATGATATTATTTTCATTGTACTACAATGGTACAAAATGCACCATGGTAGTACAATCAAAAAACTACTATGGTTTTGTACTAGTAGCATATAGTGAAACATGAAAGCATGGTAGTTGTTCATGGTCTGTGTCCCACAATTTTTCAGGTAAAGTGACCAAAAACATAGTAATTTATGGTACACGCATAATGCAACATTGACTACTCGCTCAGCAATGGCAAAGCATAGGACTAGTGTACCCTCTTAAACCCCTTTAGCTCATAGTGAAAAACCACAACACATGGTCTAGTAGTGTAGTGCACCCTCTTAAACCTTGGGACCTGGATAGGGTATGGTGAGAAGAATGAAGGGAGTCTTGACACGATACAGTTTAAAATAATTAATTTATCTGGTGCTTGTCTCTTCAATACAGTTTTAGTTAGCTGTCGCTCATTCAACTGACTACTCTTATACATTTCTAAATAGCCAACATGCTAAAAAACAATTTGTAAAAAGTTATTAATTAGCATCTCAACATATCCTTAACAACTGCAAGTTCTACTTCATACCTTTCAGTCCGTCAGTACGATTGAAAGTATGGATTATTCCCTCACACTCCGTGCAGGTCGAGTAATAATAACAACAAAGTAATATCGGTGACGTGACAGCGTGGGAGGACGTGCCCCGCCGTTCATATAAAACCGTACTTCAGACCACGCACTTTCTTATTTCTTCTCGCAAAGTTAGCTTAGCCGTATCGTGCAAATTGACTGCTCCGCTGCTCCTGTTTTTCGGATTGCATCTTCCCAGGTCCCGGTAGGATAAGCTAAACTCTGTGTGAGTTGTGTGTACTGTCAGTCTGTCACCATATGCCTGTGACCTGTGGGTCGGAGCGCGAAATTCTCCCTCCAAGGCTGTGTGACAGCTCTCCCCTACCTGTCCCTTATAATATAGAGCAGGGGTACTCAACTCCTACCCTACGAGGTCCGAAGCCTGCTGGTTTTATGTTCTACCTGATAATTAATTGCACACAACTGGTGTCCCAGGTCTAAATCAGTCCCTGAATAGAGGGGAACAATGAAGAAATGCAGTGGAACTGACTTCGAGGTCCAGAGTTGAGTTTGAGGGATGTAGAGGATATCGGGCTTCCTTGTCTTGTGCTGACTTAGCCCACCAGCTAGTGTGTGTGTTGGCAAGACATCCTCCTCTGCCATGCTCGTTATCGAGGCCACCGGGTACTAGTCGTCCTTCAACAATTTAAAACTCGTATGGGTCACTTTCCCTAGATAACTGCGTCTCATAGCGCTTGTGCCATCTAGGAAGGTTGTTAGCCAGCTATACAACGTGGGATTCGGACTGCCTCTCCCAGGCATCCCTCTCCCCTGGTATTGCTAGCACGCTACAAGCTAGCTAGCTTACCAACTCAACCTAGCTTGGTTTACCAAAACGACGCCCATTCGTCCGTGTTTTGCATAATAAGACTACGTGTAAACACAGTATTTCTCCTGCTCTAGCCCTGCAGTCGTAGCTAGGCTCACCAGAAATGATTTTGTGGATGCTTTACAACTCCCACCAGATTATTGTAGCTCTCTACCTTTACCGTTTGTATTACAGAGCAGCTACCACAATACAATCTCCGGTTACTATTATATTAGTTAATTTCATTAATTAGTAGGGGTTTGCCGAGTAGTCGGACAAAACGAGTATCGTAACGGATATGGGCAATTTTGGATATGATTATGATCAGAGTATTTTTTTTGTAATTATCTGTGTACGAGGTTCTATGTGGTCTAAATAACTGAACAGGCTATTTTGCCTGTTTGTAAAGAGAAAGGCGGTCTGTACGTTGATGCTGCTGCTCTGATGGGATAGAGTGAAGATGATCACTTTTCCTTGCATGTTTTCGGTCTGATTATTTAGTTTTCTGCTGCCTGCTACTATAATAAATCATATGGCGAGGACGTTTGCTGTGATGCTATCAATGTTCATAATATCAAGCGGGGCAAGGGTAGGGGAAAAAATATAAAACGCTGATGCGCATTCTGACTGAGTAATGACAAACTTGGCTGCCCGCTGCAAGTTGAGGACACACAGACGCATAGGTTGCACAACCCTCCTCGCGCTGCTCCTAATCTGCATATTTTTTTGCAGTGAGAACGTGCAGGGAGGTATTTTGCCAACATCTACTTAGGTATATTAAAACATCTCTGTTTTTTCCGATCACCAGTATCATCCGATCCGAGTATCAACTGTGAATTTAGGGGCCCTCAGAGGAGTCAGGGCCCTCTAGCATTCCCTCCAGCATGGGGGATGCGATGGAGGACTCCGATAGCCGCGATGATGACCTGCTCTCCACTCGGGCATTCAACCGGCAGTTTAATGAACAGGATGATGACACGCCCAACATGGCGAGGAAAGTGCCAACCAATGTTGTGGACCCATTCAGCGTAGTCAAAATATAACAATAATATCATTACACTCCACTTAATTTGGTGTTTTATATCCTATGCTTTATAACTCACTCACTGTTAAGATAAGGTTTAAAATAATTTGTTTATCTGATGCTTCTCTCTTCAGTTTTCAGTTGTCTCTCATTCAACTGACTCACTGACTAGGCAGGCTAGCGCGAAAGCTACAGTGAGAGTGCGTGAAGCAACCACTAGAGCGAGCGGCTCCCTCTGCGGGCCGAAACATGCACAACACCCCTTGACTATAAATAAATGATTACAAAAGGCCAAAGATTAGGCTACCATATATCTCAAAGGGAACCCAAACATGTACAATTAATACAGAAAGTATTACCCCTTTTTGACAGGAACTATTTCATTTTTTCTTTGATGTTACAGACAAACTAGGACCAACAATAGTAGCCGAATGCCTCTATCAGAAACTTGCCCATACTCGTATATAAATGCATCAATATAATGCCAACCAACCTCTTTTGACCTTGGGGGAGGGGATTTATTTGATGCATTATACTGCCATTGTACCATGGTAACACACAATTAATAAAGATGGTACCATATGATAATTGTTTGTACCGTTTATCATAATTGTGTGTTACCATGGTAGAAAAACATTAAGAATACCTGCTCTTTCCATGACAGACTGACCAGGTGAAAGCAGTGATCCCTTATTGATTTCACTTGTTAAATCCACTTAAATCAGTGTAGATGAAGGGGAGGAGACAGGTTAAAGAAGGATTTTTAAGCCTTGAGACAGTTGAGACATGGATTGTGTATGTGTGCCATTCAGAGGGTGAATGGGCAAGATAAAATACTTAAGTGCCTTTGAACAGGGTATGGTAGTAAGTGCCAGGCGCACCGGTTTGTGTCAAGAACTGCAACGCTGCTGGATTTTCCACGCTCAACAGTTTCCTGTGTGTATCAAGAATGGTCCACCACCCAAAGGACATCCAGCCAACTTGACACAACTTGTGGGAAGCATTGGAGTCAACATGGGCCAGCCTCCCTGTACATAACATTAAGGTGTTCTTAATGTTATGTACACTCAGGTTAAAACCATGGTATATCCACGATTCAGATCTATACCATGGTATAAATGATGCAATCCCATGGTAATATTTTGGTACAACTGCAGTACCATGGTAGTACCATCATACTTCAAGGCTAAAACCATGGTACATTTCCGTATCACTGATAGGCTATATCACTGCAGATATGCAATATTATCGTCGCAATGCTGTAATGTCGCCGAGCCCGACCCTAGTTACAACTGATATTCTGCCCACTTTATAATTGGTTCACTTCCTACTTTACCCTGTATTGGGCCCAGTTTACCATACATCTTACTCTGTACCTTTCCCCACAGTCTCGGCTACCATACCTACTTTACCATAAAGGTGAAATGTGCAATTGGTAGGCTACATCAATTTTTGGACTTTAAAGTGATAGTTCACCCAAATTACAAAATTACAAATTGGGTACCCTGTAAGCAGTCTATGGACAAGGTATGACAGCAACCGTGGTGTTGGTCCTTCAGCTGGTTGAAATTTGAGACATAATATCAACAGGAAAGTAATATTAAAGACTTCAAAACGCTTGTCTGTGTGTGGCCATCAATATGTGTTTGCTCATGACCGAAGGCACAAGTACAAGACGGAGGTACATGCTCGCGATGCATGCATACTAACTGATGTTTACATGGTTTTGTGCCAGTTTATAGAAATTTCAACTTCAGTACCGGCGCTTTGGGTAAACAATATTTTCCTGTGGATATTTTCACACAAATTTTGAGCAGCTGAAGGACCAACCGCACAGACAACCGGTAGAGTAAGTTCAATTGTAATTTTAATGTCTTGTAAGGAAAATGTCCACGATTTTGCAGTGCTTTGTTTCAGATTGTATACCAAGAATTGGCATCAAAGTCTGATTTTATTAGGCAAGTTTCAGTTATGAATCAGCAATGGCCGTTATCCTTGCCATTGTAGAGTCGGTCAGAGCTATCCAAAGTACATCACTAGTGGCATTAAAGACTATCATACAGCTAGTGAAAAAAGCTGATCTTTCAGACTCAAATTCACACATTTGATTTTTCAATAGGGAATGGGTTAACTTTCTGAGTAATGCTACATAGAAATCATTGACCAGAGACACTGCAGTATGATCATAAAAAAATATTGTAATCTGACTTTGTAAAAACACTTATGGAATGTATCGCGCTGTAGGCTAAATGTAATTTTGTTGCATTTTCAGTTAAAAAGGTCCCATCTTCCTTTTTTCTTTCTCATCTTTAAGATACAACATGATTGATAAAGGGAAGCTTATGTGTGTGTTTTTCATATGGATACTTGCACGCATGCATGGCCAGATTGTGTAAGTGATGTGATTAATGTAATAGTGGATGTCCATTCCTTTTGTCCCAGGTTCTACGCTCATGTCGAAGGCTATGAGCCCACTCTGCTACTCATCCGGACCTGCCAATCTGACGTAGGGACCTTACACACACTTAAAACTTGTGTGTGCCCTTACCCCTTCATGTAACAGCATAATGACAACCACAGCAATAGACTAGTAACTCTCAAGCTCACAGGATTATGACATTGAAAAAGTAGGCAAAAATGTTTTAAATCTACAGTCGAGTCAGTTTTTAAATCATATTGATATGGTAAAGACCTATAATTTAATGACATATATGAATACATGTACAGGCTGCAGTATTTACTTCTTATAATAACATTTTTGTGTGACTGAATAAAAAAACTGTTTTTGGGTGCACCCTGTCTCAAACTGTCCTATCCCTATTTTCCCCTTCTGCCTTCTGACATTGTCCAATCCTTCTATTTCCTATCCCACTTCTCCAATTGATGCTTCTGTAATACACCCTCTCACCACGCCCTGCATTGTCTATCCAGGTATGTGGAGCCTTCCTCTCTACAGATTGGGAGGAGCGCAAGCGAGGCGGGAACAAACTCAGCTTCTTTGGGACCGGAGAATGTTTTGTCTTCAGGGTGGGTTGTTTATTTCCCTATTCACTTTATGTTTCTCATCCAATTAGGCTATGTGAATCCACCATTCTTTAATTTTATGTATTCTTTTTGGGGAGTAGCATGTTTTGGGAATTCCTTTGGGTGCTTCCCATATGCAGTACCAGTCAAAAGTTTGGACACACCTACTCATTCAAGAGTTGTTCTTTATTTGTACTATTTTCTACATTGTAGAATAATAGTGAAGACATCATAACTATGAAATAACACATATGGCAGTAACCAAAAAAGTGTTAAACAAATCAAAATATATTGGCCACCCATTGCCTTGATGACAGCTTTGCACACTCTTAGCATTCTCTCAACCAGCTTCACCTGGAATGCTTTTCCAACAGTCTTGAAGGAGTTCCCACATATGCTGAGCACTTGTTGGCTGCTTTTCCTTCACTCTGCCATCCGACTCATCCCAAACCATCTCAATTGGGTTGAGGTCAGGTGATTGTGGAGGCCAGGTCATCTGATGCAGCACTCCATCACTCTCCTTGGTCAGATGGCCCTTACACAGCCTGGAGGTGTGTTTTGGGTCATTGTCCTTTTGAAAAACAAATGATAGACCCACTAAGCGCAAACCAGATGGGATGGCGTATCGCTGCAGAATGCTGTGGTTGCCATGCTGGTTAAGGGTGCCTTGAATTCTAAATAAATCACCAACAGTGTCACCAGCAAAGCACCATCACACCACCTCCATGCTTCACGGTGGGAACCACACATGCGGAGATCATCCGTTCACCTACTCTGCATCTCACAAAGACACGGCGGTTGGAACCAAAAATCTCAAATTTGGACTCATCAGACCAAAGGACAGATTTCCACCGGTCTAATGTCCATTGCTCGTGTTTCTTGGCCCAAGCAAGTCTCCTCTTCTTATTGGTGTCCTTTAGTAGTGGTTTCTTTGCCGCAATTCAACCATGAAGGCCTGATTCACGCGGTCTCCTCTGAACAGTTGATGTTGAGATGTGTCTGTGACTTGAACTCTGAAGCATTTATTTGGTCTGCAATCTGAGGTGCAGTTAACTCTAATGAACTTATCCTCTGCAGCAGAGGTAACTCTGGGTCTTCCTTTCCTGTGGCGGTCCCCATGAGAGCCAGTTTCATCATAGGGCTTGATGGTTTTTGCAACTGCACTTTTCCGGATTGACTGACCTTCATGTCTTAAAGTAATGATGGACTGTCGTTTCTCTTTGCTTTTTTGAGCTGTTCTTGCCATACTATGGACTTGGTCTTTTACGAAATAGGGCTATCTTCTGTATACCACCCCTACCTTGTCACAACACAAATGAAGAAGGAAAGAAATTCCACAAATTAACTTTTAACAAGGCACACCTGTTAATTGAAATGCTTTCCAGGTGACTACCTCATGAAGCTGGTTGAGAGAATGCCAAGAGTGTGCAAAGTTGTCACCAAGGCAAAGGGTGGTTACTTTGAAGAATCTCAAATCTCATATATATTTTGATTTGTTTAACACTTTTTTGGTTACTACATGATTCCATATGTGTTGTTTCATAGTTTTGATGTCTTCACTATTATTCTGCAATGTAGAAAATAGTAAAAATAAAGAAAAACCCTGGAATGAGTAGGTGTTTCCAAACTTTTGACTGGTACAGTATACTCAACAAAAATATAAATGCACATGCAATAATTTCATTGATTTTATTGAGTTACAGTTCATATGAGGAAATCAGTCAATTGAAGTCAATTATTTAGGCCCTAATCTATGGATTTCACATGACTGGGAATACAGATATGCATCTGTTGGTCACAGATACCTTAAAGAAAATGGGTCTCACAATGGGCCTCAGGATCTTATTACGGTATGTTTGTGCATTTAAATTGCCATCGATAAAATGGTGTTTGTTGTCCGTAGCTTATGCCTGCCCATACCATAACCCCACCGCCTCCATTGGGCATTCTGTTCACAAAGTTGACATCAGCAAACCGTCTTTGGCATTGTGTTGTTTGACAAAACGGCACATTTTAGAGTGGCCTTTTATTGCCCCCAGCACAAGGTCCACCTGTGTAATGATCATGCTGTTTAATCAGCTTCTTGATATGCCACACCTGTCAGGTGGATGGATTATCTTGGCAAAGGAGAAATGCTCACTTATACTTTCCCACGGGGGGCCAGTATAAAAAAAATATATATATATATGTATTCACTAACTGTAAGTCGCTCTGGATAAGAGCGTCTGCTAAATGACTAAAAATGTAAATGTAAATGTAAACAAATTTGTGCACAAAATCTGAGAGAAATAAGCTTTTTGTGCGTATGAAACATGGGACCAACACTTTACATGTTGTGTTTTGTTCAGTGTAATTTCACCTCAGAATTGTCAAATCAGTGACTAAGAGTGGACACCAGGTTGCAAGACTTACAATAATTAGCCTCCTTATCACAAGTCTGGCCTCCACCCACTCTGAACGGAAAAGCATGTCAGGTCCAAAAATGAGTGATAGAACAAAATGTAGTGTACACTTTAGAGAGGTTTCACTGAGTGTACATGAGCTAGAAATAGCTTCAATTCCAAGTCCTTCTAGCATGAATAATTAAACTGTTGTGGTGTGGATGATGCGCAGCTGTGTGCTCTGTCGGTCTGCCTTTGAACAATGCCCCACATGCACACACTCAACGGAAACTCCTGTAACTGGAGCCTAACTGTATAATGCCACCTGATAAGGCCCTCACCTGACACCACACACAATAAGATCAGGATCGAGATCAATCAGACATGCATGTAGAGAGAGAGAGAGAGGCTGGGGAGAGGGAATGAAAAAGCACCAATTATGACAGAGTATTCAGTGTCCAGCTTGTATCTGACTGATTCAAGGTAACCCCTCCAGTATGAAGATCATAGAAATATAATGAATATGGCCACCGGTCTGTCCACTCATCACAAAACATTGACTTTAATGGGGATTCCTGTTCTAGTAATTATATTTCAATGATGAAGATAAACCCTCAAACGTGAGCATTCCTCCCGGTTTGTCGGTGTAGCTGAAGCCGGAGATGGAGAGGTATGAGTGGGTGGTGATCTGCCACCCGGAGCTGGCCTCCACCATCAAGGCCCAGAGCAGTGAGGACCCTGCCGAGGACGAGGCGCCCCCCGACAGGCAGAACTCGGACGGCAACAGCCTTCCTGTGGAGAGGCCGGCCGCTGACCCATCTGATCGCCTGTCGCCCTTCCTCTCGGCCCGACACTTCCATCTCAACTCCAGGAATACCTCCATGTTCATGGCGGGCAACTTTGACTCTATCATTGTGGGTGAGTGGAAATCAGTCCTTCTTGTTCTTAAATCGATCAATCTAGCCAGAGTGAGTAAGATGTACTCACCTATATTCTCAGGTCTATATCAGTCATTGATAAGGACAATGCCACAATTAAACTAACATCTAGGAACTGAAGATCCTTATGGCCCTTGCCTGTCCCTCTGTGCCTCTCCTCTTCCTCTCACCCAGCGTCTCTGTTTCTTAATTGATCAATCCGATTGGCCAGTTCACTTACCTAGATTAAGATCATTTTCCTGTCTTAACTCCTGCTGTTCGGTCTCCTGCCAGGGGGAGGCGAGGGAAACGCGCTGTACATCGACGGTGAGCTAAACCACGGACACACAGCCCGGTGCACCACTTTTGACAACCCACCGCTCTGCTCCACCGAGAGCTTCCAGGTGGCCCTGCTGGAGGTGTGGGGCTTCAAGGACACAATGGCCTCTGATAGATAGACAGACAGACAGACACACACACACACACACAGTTCGAGATATACACACACACACAACCCACCAAGGGCCTGATGAAGGTACCAGTCATATCAGAACAAACCCCTTTCCGTCCAGCAAATTCATTTATCCATTGAATTCTATACATAAATGTGAAATATTTGTATTTATTCATGTTGAACAAGTATCATATTTTATTTGTGATTCGTTTTTACAGATTTTTAATTACATTGTATTACTCTTTTTGTTGACTCTCATTCGGAGGGGTTTGATGGCGAAAAGCAGCTCTGTTGTGAAAAAGGCCTTGTCTGGAATTATCAAATGCCATGATTTTACACACTCAAGTAACTTCATTTCTGTATTCACTTTATATCTACTCATTAATTTGTGCAATCTGGTTACGCACCAAACCAGCCGCCAAAATCGTAGTAAGTAGGCCTATAAGTCTTTGAACATATGCAGTCTACCCAGCTGTCAGAAAACTGGGGTCTATGAAAATAAATTGTACAACGTGAAGTGTGGCTGTTGTGCGGCCATATTCACACCAGATGTACTCTTAGCTCTGCGCACAGCAGTAAATTAGAGAGGCCCCTTTGTAAAGTATGTGAATATTGTTCTTTGAATGTGTTTTATTGATAGTGTGAAAGTGTTATCAGGTGAGATGAAGACCATATCCACGTCCCTCATTATTTAGGTTCACAATCTCTGTAATGCAGTATTCATCCGTCTCTCCCTCTTTCTCTATCCGTCCCTCACAATATCATCCAAAAAATAGCAGAATATGTACGTTCTAGTGCAGAGACTCAATTGTATATCATTGAATATCTGTGTTGTATTGAAGAAAGTCCTCCAGTGAAGTATCGATTGAAAAATGACAGATGTATCGTACATGTGAAAGTAATACACTTTTAAACAAGTGACATTTGTCTCTGTCATGTTTTATTGTTAATTAATTTCATAGTTTTTTTTGCTAGCTTTGCTGACATATGTGCCCCCACCCACCCTACTGTTCTTACTTTGACTATGGGGTGAAAGGAGGGGAGTAGTTTCTTGAACCCTGTCACATAAACGTGTCAGATGCCTTTCACAATCAGTTTACCCAGAATCTAACTATTGGCCCGTCTGACAATTATCATACCATATCCAGGAAACTTGCCTAGTTGGCTTGGTAAGCATATCTATGAAAATGTAACCTCAAAAAATACTATTTGAAATAAACTGATGGCAAGATAAGAGAGATACCGGTATGTGAAAATTCCAATGAAATAGTCTGCAAAGGTAGATCATCTATCCAAGTGATTATGTGGCAAAGTCCAGCGTCTCAGCATTCCTCTCACATATTATCTACTGATTTCTGAATACAAATGTTGTCATTAATGTGGCTTAAGAAAGCAGCCACACTTTTTTTTTAAATCCACATATTTCTGACTTATAGTTAATGGAGCAAGTCCCCACTTTAAATCATTGACATACTTCTTATTATTCTTTTGCACACTACTCCTCTTAAGCTAGAAATGCCTTTCAAACTTTATAACGTGTAGACTGGTCTGGATTTTTGATATATTTTATACTTTTTAACACTTAAGGTTTTTGTTCTTCATTTTTTTAGTCATTTTAGCAGACGCTCTTATCCAGAGCAACTTACAGTTAGTTAGTGCATACATTATTTTTTATTTTTTCATACTGGCCCCCCGTGGGAATCGAACCCACAACCCTGGCGTTGCAAACGCCATGCTCTACCAACTGAGCTACATCCCTGCCGGCCATTCCCTCCCCTACCCTGGACGACGCTGGGCCAATTGCACGCCACCCCATGGGTCTCCTGGTCGCGGCCAGCTACGACAGAGCCTGGATTCGAACCAGGATCTCTAGTGGCACAGCTAGCACTGCGATGCAGTGCCTTAGACCACTGCGCCACTCAGGAGACAGTTTGATGGGATTTCCTCAACATTCTAAAGGTCACATTGTGACATCACTTCCAACAACAAACTGAGCCATTGCTATGGATACTCACACACACAGAGGAGCGCATGGGGCAGTGAAGGGAGCGAGGGACAGAGAGACAATCAGCTATGGATACTAACAGAGGAAGTTACTGTATTTCTAATTTCGGGTTGAGCAATCGGGCCCGGGTGGGGTAGAGCCTGAACGTCGCCGGCATGGGTAGGGCTCGCGCTAAATTGTCATGCCCTTGCAAGACTAGATAGAATGTAACATTGGTCGCGTGTTGCGTTTGTCCGTTAGCCCAGGGCTTCGGGATGCAAGTGTGAATCACTACATTAACCCCCCCACACACAAACACTTTATCTTTGCTTGATTGAGCTTGCCTGGCCTAATGGACCAATGGAATAGTCCCAAAATTGCAAACCCTGCCCATCTGACATTCCAGGCAGGCTTGAAAGATCACTGAAAGTATAGTATTTGAACATCGGTTTGACACACACACACACACATACAGACACACACACACTTTTCTTTCCTAACAGGTCTGAAGGATAATCCACACAATCTTCTGTGTCCCTGTCCGATTACGTAAGTCAGACAAAATCATATGTCATGAACATATCCAGCAAATTCTATCAATTTGCTTTGTTTATAACTTCAAGTAGATTCAAATTCAACTTGCTGGGGGCAGGGAAGGGGTGCCCCTCTACTGCCAGTGGGTCCCTCTTCCCACTGATCCCCCCTCCAGCCCAGTATTTATTTAAAACTTCACCATGCCTCCTTGTCTTCTGTACTCTATTATTACATGTTACAAATACCGTGGTATTCTAATAGGAGAGTGTATAAAAGTGTTGTCTGAGTAGTTATTTCTGATAAAATGTGTTATCTAACTGCCTCATAATCCCAAATAATGTTTATATAGTAGTCTATCAAAGTATTCAGACCAGATATTTCAATATTAACTTTGACTTCGGAAAGTATTCAGACCCCTTGACCTTTTCCACGTTGCTACGTTACAGCCTTATTCTAAAAAAAATTATATATTTTTTAAACTACTCATCAATCTACACACAATACCCCATAATGACAAAGCAAAAATAGGTTTTTAGAAATTTTAGCAAATGTATCACAAATAGAAAACGGAAATATCAGATTTACATAAGTATTCAGACCCTTTACTCAGTACTTTGGCAGCGATTACAGCATCAAGTCTTCTTGGGTATGACGCTACAGGCTTGGCACACCTGTAATTGGGGAGTTTCTCCCATTCTTCTCTGCAGATCCTCTCAAGCTCTGTCAGATTGGATGTGGAGAGTCGCTGCACAGCTATTTTCAGGTCTCTCCAGAGATGTTCGATCGGATTCAAGTCCGGGCTCTGGCTGGACCACTCAAGGACATACAGAGACTTGTCCCGAAGCCACTCCTGTGTTGCCCTGTTGGAAGGTGAACCTTCACCCCAGTCTGAGGTCCTGAGCGCTTTGGAGCAGGTTTTCATCAAGGATCTCTCTGTACTTTGCTCCGTTCATCTTTGCCTCGATCCTGACTAGTCTCCTAGTCCCTGCCGCTGAAAAACATCCCCACAGCATGATGCTGCCACAACCATGCTTCACCATAAGGATGGTGCCAGATTTCCTCCAGACGTGACACTTGGGATTCAGACCAGAGAATCTTGTTTCTCATGGTATGAGAGTCTTTAGGTGCCTTTTGGCAAACTCCAAGCGGGCTGTCATGTGCCTTTTACTGAGGAGTGGCTTCCATCTGGCCACTCTACCATATAAAGGCCTGATTGGTGGAGTGCTGCAGAGATGGTTGTCCTTCTGGAAGTTTTTGCCATCTCCACAGAGGAACTCTAGAGCTCTGTCAGAGTGACCATCGGGTTCTTGGTCACCTCCCTGACCAAGACCCTTCTCCCCCGATTGCTCAGTTGGGCCGGGATCCCATCTCTAGGAAGAATCTTGGTGGGTCCAAACTTCTTCCATTTAAGAATGATGGAGGCCACTGTGTTCTTGGGGACCTTCAATGCTGCAGAAATGTTTTGGTACCCTTCCCCAGATCTGTGCCTCAACACTATCCTGTCTCGGAGCTTTACGGACAATTCCTTCGACCTCATGGCTTGGTTTTTGCTCTGACATGCACTGTCAGGTGCGTGCCTTTCCAAATCATGTCCAATCAATTGAAGTTACCACAGGTGGACTCCAATCAAGTTGTAGAAACATCTCAAGGATGATCAATGGAAACAGGTTGCACCTTATCCTCTGCAGCAGAGGTAACTCTGGGTATTCCTTTCCTGTGGCGGTCCTCATGCGAGCCAGTTTCATCATAGCGCTTGATGGTTTTTGCGACTTCACTTGAAGAAACGTTCAAAGTTCTTGAACTTTTCCGGATTGACTGACCTTCATGTCTTAAAGTAATGATGGACTGTCGTTTCTCTTTGCTTATTTGAGCTGTTCTTGCCATAATATGAGTTGGTCTTTTACCAAATAGGGCTATCTTCTGTATACCACCCCTACCTTGTCACAACACAACTGATTGGCTCAAACGAATTAAGAATGAAATTGATTCCACAAATTCACTTTTAAGAAGGCACACCTGTTAATTTAAATGCATTCCAGGTGACTACCTCATGAAGCTGGTTGAGGGAATGCCAAGAGTGTGCATAGCTGTCAAAGGCAAAGGGTGGCTACTTTGAAGAATCTAAAATATAAAATGTATTTTAACACTTTTTTGGTTACTACATGATTCCATATGTGTTATTTGATAGTTTTGATGTCTTCACTATTATTCTACAATGTAGAAAATAGTAAAAATAAAGAAAAACCCTTGAATGAGTAGGTGTATCCAAACGTTTGACTTGGTGCTGTATGTAAATAAGGTATTTCAGTTTTTTATTTTTTATACATTTGCAATAAACATTTCTAAAAACCTGTTTTCGCTTTGTCATTATGGGGTATTGT